AAAATACATAAAAAGCAAAACGTTGCATTCACATTTTATAGAGAAAATTGTAGTTGCATGGTTTATGAATCTATTCGCGTCTAAATGCAGCACCTTTTTTCTGAGATGAGGCATTTGTTTTTATACTAAAAAATCTGAATTGCTTTGAATAAAGCTGGAAATATTTACATCTATCATTGACATTCGGTAAACTGTTGTTTCAAGCCTAATACTTGTTTGTATTCAAAATTAATTATGACAATGCATATTCATATTGAAACAAACTATGATAAAAAAAATAATATATAACAAGTCATTGTCAATGACACGTCCCCGTTCCGTTCATATTTGAGTGACATATGCATTCAAAGCAGATCATGACTGAAATGCATTTTCGGCCTTAAAATGGCCATCATTCAGCTAATCTTGAAACAAATGCACATAATTATTTGTGACATGATGTAACATGTGTGTGTGAAGTTTGAACTTGATCAATCCAGACATGTCTCAGATACGAATCCAGAACTGAATTCTTTAAAACAAAATGGCCGCCAGTTGGCCATTTCAAACCCGATCCAAAAAAAAAAAATGACGTTCATCAAGGTCCTATTTTGTTTAATGTATGTACCAAATTTGAACAAAATCTGTCTATGCATAACTGAGATCCGGGTCCGGAATGGTGAAAATGTGCGATTTTGATGCATTTTCGGCCTTAAAATGGCCGCTATCGTTAATCGGATCATGAAAAAAATGCATGTGCATATGTCCCATATAATGTGTGATGTTTGAACTTAATCGGTCCATGCATGTTCAAGATACAGGTGATCATGGACGCACGGACACACACAGGGCAAACCATAAGTCCCCGTTTTCGGACTACGTCCAAACGGGGACTAACAAAGGGCAAGGTCACCAGAGTTCAACTATGTTTTGTTGTTGAAGAGGTGATGTGAATAATTGAGTATTATTGAGCATGTTTTCTTTTTTTATATTACATCCATGAATATCTGTATAAAGTGCAGTGTAATGTGTAGTGGTTTACTAATCTGCATATAATTTGTAGCAGTTTAACGGAGACTATTAATTTGGGTTCGTTCCGTCTGTACGTCCGTTCGTAGCTATATCTCGGACACCCATTGACAGATTTCATTCAAACTTTAAATGAAGACAATACATATAATGTCTTACATATGCACGTCAAGTTACTTTATGATCGGAGAAAAAATGGCCGACTGGCGGCCATTTTGGATGTAAAATTTGCTATTTCTGATACTGCAGCAGTTTCTCAGAGATGACTTGGCCGATTTGGATCAAAGTTGGCATGATGATCATGCATATTGGGTTGTAGGTGCACGTCATTTTTTTTTTTTCGTGATTCGAACAAATATGGCCTACTGGCGGCCATCTTGTTTTTCATGGTACCCATGCTATTTTATTTTGAATGCAATGAACGTTTCTGTTTAAATTTTGTACAAAGATAGTATACCAAAAGATACATCTGCACCATCATTATTTTTGTGATTCGATTCAATATGGCCGGCCAATGCCCAATTTTCATGTAAAAGTGCTAAATTGTAATTTTTACATGTCCGGAGTTGTTTCTCAGAGATGACTAGGCCGATTTGGATCAAAGTTGGTATGGTGATCATACATATTGAGTTATAGGTGCACGTCTTATTTTTTCCGTGATTCAAACAAATATGGCCGACTGGCGGCCATTTTGGTTTTCATGGTACCCATGCTACTTTCTCTATAAATTTTGTACAAAGATAGTATACCAAGGGATACATGCGCACCACATTATTTTTGTGCTTCGATTCAATATGGCCGGCCAATGCCCAATTTTCATGTAAAAGTGCTAAATTGTAATTTTTACATGTCCGAAGCTGTTTCTCAGAGATGACTAGGCCAATTTCGATCAAAGTTGGTATGATGATCATACATATTGGTTTATAGTAGCACGTCATATTTTTTCTGTGATTCAAACTGATATGGCTGACTGGTGGCCATTTTGTTTTTCATGATACCCATGCCTACTTTCCAATGAATGCAATGAACATTTCTGTTTAAATTTTGTACAAAGACAGTATACCAATAGATACATCAACATGAACATTATTTTTGTAATTTGATTCAATATGACTGCCCAATGTAAAAGCACTAAATCATAATTTTTTACAAATCCATCTCCTATTAATGGTTTCAATCTAATCTCAATGACTTCATCAGCATCAAATTGATATGTCAGATCACAAAATTTTGGACGAGGACTGTGTCATTAACAATGACTTGTCCACATATAATTTGTAGCAGTTTACTAATCTGCATATAATTTGTAGCAGTTTACTAATCTGCATATAATTTGTAGCAGTTTACTAATCTGCATATAATTTGTAGCAGTTTACTAATCTACATATAATTTGTATCAGTTTACTAATCTGCATATAATTTGTAGCAGTTTACTAATCTGCATATAATTTGTAGCAGTTTACTAATCTGCATACTATTTGTAGCAGTTTACTAATCTGCATATAATTTGTAGCAGTTTACTAATCTACATATAATTTGTAGCAGTTTACTAATCTGCATATAATTTGTAGCAGTTTACTAATCTGCATATAATTTGTAGCAGTTTACTAATCTGCATATAATGTGCAGCAGTTTACTAATCTGCATATAATTTGTAGCAGTTTACTAATCTGCATATAATTTGTAGCAGTTTACTAATCTGCATATAATGTGTAGCAGTTTACTAATCTGCTTATTATGTGTAGCAGTTTACTAATCTGCATATAATTTGTAGCAGTTTACTAATCTGCATATAATGTGTAGCAGTTTACTAATCTGCATATAATTGTGTAGCAGTTTACTAATCTGCATATAATTGTGTAGCAGTTTACTAATCTGCATATAATTTGTAGCAGTTTACTAATCTGGATTTACAGGGATAAACAAGTTGCTGTAGCAATGATGAATTGTTTATTTAAATAAATATATAAAAATGAGCAAAATGTTGCACCAATGTTGTTTGGAAAAATTTCAATTAATTGATTCTACATTTTACTCTGTCTTTGTCTTTTCAGACCAATTTAACACCGTTGGCACAGAATATTCTTGGCTTTGGTGAAATGGAAAACAGTTTGTTTTACTGTTTTGCAGGGTTAGAAGTAAGTTGAGTGAAATAAACACTTTTTTCTGTGTCAAATTTTTTACGCAGTGTACATTTCAAAACTAATTTGGAAAATCTTGATGTCCGGCATGGAAAAAAAATGATTTTTTTTAGCTCTGCTGTCGACTTTGTCGAGCTGAGCTTATGACAGGAGTGAGTGTCTGTCGCCGTCGTCCGTGTCAATGTTTTACTTTTTCGACTTCTTCTTGAAAACTACAAGCCTGAATGCTTTGATACTTGGCGTATATGTACCTTGGGTAGGCCTCTCTCAGATTTGTTCATTTCATGATGATATCTTCAATTATCTAATTTTGGTGAATATTTTTGTCATTTTTGGTAAAAAGTGATATTTTCAACTTCTTGTTGAAAATCGCAAGTCCGATTGCTTTGATATTACATATACAAATGTATAGGTACTACATGAGGTCCTCTCTCAGATATGTTCATTTTGTGAAGATATCTTTCATTCTCTAATTTTAGTGAATAGTGATATTTTCGACTTCTTGTTAAAAAACGCAAGTTCGATTGCTTTAATAGTATACAAATTGTTCATTTTCTAATATCTTCTGTTCTTTAATTGAAATGTGCATTGCTAACAGCAGAGCTATCTCAGTCGACAGGCTGCTTGTTATTTCCAATATCAAACTGAAGGTAGTCAGACAAAATACAGTTCATGACACCACAAGCATCAATCAGCCTTACGAATAACCACCACATCTTCAAATCCGAGTGTCAAAATTTCAGAAAACATTATTTTATAAAAACTACTAATCTTATGCTAATTAGGCATAACACCTTAGTACACCTATGAAATATATTAGCAGTTTAATGATTGAGACCTCTATCATGAATTGAGACTAATTGCAAACACATACATACATCACATATATTTACATGTATTCATCACAAGTACTGATTTAAAATCAGACTTGCACAACAAAGACTCTTTCATATATTAATTGTCATAATTGTGTTTTTTTTACTTTCATTTGAGTTTCTTCATTCATACCATCATATCTGTATGTCCTAAAACACTCATAAAAGAACTGTAGTCACAGATGAAAACTTTAACATACGATTGCTTTCTTTAGGTACTTTTAACATTCATCCTGGTCAAAATACTAAGCAAAAAAATTGAAGATCGTTCAATGTTAGCGCTGGGGTTTGCTATTGAAATTGTTTCAATCTCTGTGGCTGTGTGGTATTTCCCTGCTGCTGAGGAAAGCAAGAGTGAGTGTTTTTTTGTAATTTAAAAATATCTTGTTACTCCCAAAATACTGCATTTTGTCTTTTAAATTATTTTTGCTAATTACTGGGTAAAGTATTTGACAGCACACACATTTTGCAGGTTTAATCAATTTGTCGACAGAGGGCGCTGTGCAGCGGTGAAATAAATGGGAAAACACTTTTAAGTAAAATTTAATCACATGAATACTTGGTGATATCAAACAACGCTATTATGTATGGTGTTTAATGGCTCATATCTCACTACTTATTTTATAAATCATTTTATTTATGCCCATTATATATGTTTTGTTTTCAGATGAGTCTTACAAATTGGCCATGTTTATCTGCATTGTTCTAGTGCAAGTATTTGGCTTGCCCTTTATATCTGCTTGTGTCGTTTCTATGTTTTCAAAACACACAACAGAACGTACTCAGGGTAAGTATGACAAACACTTCTGAAATGTTCACAGCAATTACTGTGAACACATGAACAACCATTCTTGATATTAACCAGCCAAGTTGCATCCAAACCAAGGAATGAAAACAATTCTGGCATTTTTTGGCGCTAAATATTGATATCCGAATGGTGGCCATTTTTGCGGTAAAAATTCATCAAATTTATCTTTTCTGTCTTCCTGGAACCAGATTTCAGTTTTGTAATGATGAATTTCATTCAACCTTGGTACTTATATTGTACATTATGTTATCTTGCTGCATGTTACTTTGTTTTTCAGATTGAATTCAAAAATGGCCAACTCACGGCCATATTGTTTTAATGAATGTTGTTTCGAAGCAAACTTTATACATTCCTTAATCTTGATTATTAATTGCAATTAAAAACTTGTTTTTATATTAAAGGACTTAGTCAGGGTATCCGCCGTGGTGTGGCTAATATTGGAACAATACTGGGACCAATCTGGGCAGGTGGTACATTGAATATTCTGTATGTTAACATGGGTGTGATGGTTGGACTTCTTTTTCTTATTATAGTAAGTATGTTCAATGCACAAGTGTATGGAAGGCTGAACAATGACATGCATCCAGGCTTATAAATAACATATAATTAAAATAACTTGCTTATTCATAGTTCAAAGTTTTGTGATGAGTAAATAAAATATGATGAGGGTTATGACCCTGATCTGTGTCTTGACAGCATTTCAATGAACTACTGTAAAATACTTTATTTTAACTGGAATTAATTTTCGCGAAAAAAGGCATTTTTGTATGGAGTTTATTTTCACTGATTTTTGATGAGTTGAATTGTAATTAGGAAAATAGGTATATTGCTGGATTTTATTTTCACTGAATCACCCCTTAATAAAGTATTTGCATTTTACAGTAGTACTGCTTATAATAGTGTTTACGATGTGTCTAGACCAACCAGTGAACAGAAAAGCCTGGACAATCAACCACTAAAATAATATCAATACAGAATCATCCAAATCTCTACATGAATTATATTTTTTCAGATGATGATGATATTGTCTTGGAAACATCTCAAGACTCCAGAGAAGTTCTGGTGGCTGAAGAAAGATCAAAGTAAATCTATCAATTCTGATGCACCATACTACAATGACAGGATCCTATAGAAATCAAAATAGGACTTTAGTAATATCAACATGCTACAGAAATCAAAATTTCCATGTAAGAGTGATGTTTATTCAAGAAATATTTACAAAAAAAGTTATTTTTATAAAATTAAGAGGACCACATTCTGTGCTTTTTTAAAACTGAGCTAAAATAACCTCACAGGGTATGTTATGATGTTTATAGAAACAAACATCAGTTTTCAGCAATCATAAATGTATGCCATTTGATGACGCATTTAG